TGTCCCGCAGCGATGTCCCGCAGCGATGTCCCGCAGCGATGTCCCGCGCCGGCTCGGCTTCCACGCTGCGCACAAATTGCTGCGCGGGCGGCGGCCACGAGCGCAAATCCGCCTCAATGGTGGCGATTCGCAGCCAGAGAGAAAAACCCTCTATGTGTCCCATCTGCCGGAACCTGCAAACCCACGCGCCGTGCCCGCGCACCGAGCGGCCCTTCACGGCATCGCAGCCCCGAGCGCGCGGCTCGGGATCAGCAGGGCTGCGGGAGGGCAAAGGAGAACGAGGAGAGAAGGACAGAAAGCGGCGAAACGGGCAGCTGAGAGCTGTTCTGAGCGGCTGACCCCGAGCGGGGCTGCGGGAGAAGCAAAGGGATTCGCAGACGGAAGGTGAAGGGCAGCGCCGTGCGGAGCCGCGCATTCCTGGCCCGGCGCTCGGCTCCCGGCTGCCCGGAGCGCCCTCACAGCTTCCTCGGCTCCTCATCGCGACGCCAGAGCGAGCCCTGCCGGTGCTGCGAGGAACGCCGCTCTACGGATGGAGGAACGGGGTCTGCTTCCATTTTTGGCCGCGGTGCCACTCGGCAAACGTGAGCGAATGTCCGCGCTGCGCTCCGCCTGCAGACGGAGCTCCGCCGCCGTCCGGAGCGCTCGGAGCCCGGCTGTCCCGCACCCAGCAGAGCCGCCCAGCTGCAGACAGCGCCCGGAGGTGCGGAATCACAGAATCACAGCGTGGCCTGGGTTGCAAAGGAGCGCGATGCTCATCCAGTATCGACCCCCTGCTGTGTGCGGGGTCACCAACCAGCAGAGCAGGCTGCCCAGAGAAAATGGAAAGCAATGCCATGAAAGTGGGGAAGAAGCCCCCACGTGTGAAATAATGAGCAGATGGCACCGAAACGACAGCGTGCACACTGTGCACCGTGCACCTGGGCTCTGCAGCACCCAGCACGGCTCAGCACAGCACCCAGCAGCTCCAGGGAAGCATGAGGGGATCCCCTGTATGCAGCGGTGCATCAACACACACGGAGGGCACAGCTCTGAGGCCTGGGTGAGGCTGTGGAGCCGATCACGTGTCTGAAGAATCCAGGAGGAGCAGGGATTTGATTCCTACATATACAGCTACTCAGCCCAGGCTGTGCTGCGGATGCTTTCATCAACCACGAGGAGGAGTTTCTTTAAGGAGAAGGTTGTCAGCATAGGGGCAGCCTGCAGCCGTGGGGCCTCCATCCCTGGGGCGTTTGGGGGCTGTGTGCACGTGGCACTGGGGGATGCGGGTGGCACACGGTGGGTTTCCTGCTTTTGGCTGCGGTTTTCCTCCCAGCTGGAGGCACAGTGCTGCGTTTTGGGGCAGGCTGTAATGCTGGTAACGCTCTGAGCCGTGCTTACACTGAGCTCCAGCAGTAAGAGCCAACAGGACATGGAGAGGATTGGCTTTTGTCCCCACGGCGCCTCCTGTGTGACAGCCGCTGCTGTGCGAGGGATGGGCCGAGCAGCTCCTGGTTCTGTTCACTCACACACAGCTTCTGCTCGTGTGCAAACTACCCTTATCTCAGCCCATGGGCCTCTGCATTTACAGCAGTCCTGCTATCCAAGCAGTGGAGCTCCCAAGGACCTGACATCCAAAAGGAATGAGGAGGTGTCTGCTTCCCTTCCAGGTCACATCACTAACTCTAACTGAGCTCTGACTGTGGGCAGGGCAGGAGCAGAGCAGAGTGGTGCCTCAGGGCACAGCCCAGCAGTGTGAATTTGGGTTTGCACGGGGGAATCATGGAATCATAGAACGGCCTGGGTTGCAAAGGAGCACAACGATCAACTAATTTCAACCCCCTGCTGTGTGCAGGTCGCCAACCAGCAGCCCAGGCTGCCCAGAGCCACATCCAGCCTGGCCTTGAATGCCTGCAGGGATGGGAGCCTGCAGCCTGTTCTGACGCAGCAAGGACACAGAGTAAGGAAGGGTTCCTAGAAGGAGCAGTGGAGCAATGTGAGCCCTCGCTCAGGGGAAGGCGCCCTTGCCCCAGCAGGATGCACTGTGCAGGGGTACTTGTGGAGCAACGTCTGTGTGCCTGCATGCCACGCTAACAGCACAACACACATGAAATGTTTTATTAGCCCCATGAAATGATGTCCTACAGATACAAAAGGCTCAGTTCTGGAGAGTGAGAGCCCGGCGCTGGAGCAATAGAGAATTCAACCGGGAGCTCCTGGCCAGAGCAGCAGCTGCTACTGATTCCTTTCTTTCTACCCGCAGCGCTGGCAGACTGCTGCTGGCTGAGGCCACCGGGGTGGGCAGGCCTGGCTGCCGGTGCAGACGCAGAGGAGAACCGGGCTCTGCGAGGTCCGGCCGCGGTGCTCAGCAGTTCTGCCGCTCCACACCGAGGCTGCCATTAGGGGGCCCGCCGTGCCGCTGGCAGCCGTGCCGGGCCCGGGCCGTTCCGCACCCACCTCACAGCCACGGAGGCACACCGGACCCGCGGCTCCGCTACGTGCCCGAGGGCCCCGCGGGAGAGCTGTCAGGAGCCGCGCGGGCCGCGGGCGTTTCGGCTCCGTCCGGTGCCGTCCGCTCTGTGCCGTCCTCCAGGCGGGCGGCGCGGCGCTGCACGATGCTGGGCATGAGGGCCACGTAGGCGCTCATCAGGCGGTGGTTGGCACGGATCAGTTTCCCGGCGCAGCCGTCCAGGCATCGCTCCTGCGGGCGGAGCGGCTCAGCACGGCTCAGCACAACCCTGCCGCACGCCGCCACCCCCCAGCCGGGCCCCGCTCACCTCACGCCGCGACAGCAGCCGGTAACCGAGATCGGAGACACAGCGGCGGAAGCAGAGCTCGGTCATGCGGTTGTACACCAACAGGAAGTCCCGCAGCTGCAAAACAGCGGCCCGCACGGTCACAGGGCCCGCACGGTCACAGGGCCCGCACGGTC